TATATATATATATATATATAATTAGTGTAATAGTATTGAGTTTTGCCTGAGAACTATATTTGTTTATCATGTTAAACATGCTTAGGTGTACTTTAGTATTTGGGTCAAAAATTGTTTACATATTCTATTCTTTCCAAATATTTTGTCATTCATCAATAATTTTAGTATCTTAATTTGCAGGTACCTTCACATCCTAATGGCAAAGCATCCGTTGAAGGCACTAAACAAGGAGCTAGTGAAACAGTTAATAACAGTTTGAACGAATCAACACAAGACAAGGCTTTCACCACAGCAGAAAATGTAATATTATATTATTGCTAGAAAATACTTATTGTGTTAACCAACTCATAAAATCAATGAAAGTCTAATTAATTAAAATCAACAAATACATGACAAGTCATTTGTTATGAACCCCTTTCAAGAAAGGGGAGGCTCCAAAAGAAATTAAGAAAGAAATAAACACTAAATCTTGATTAATTAATTCTTCTCAACTCTACCAGAGCAATACAATGATTATATATAACATAATATTATAAGTAAGAAACAAAATGTATTTCTAATAAGTTTTAACAAACTTATTCTAGAACATATTTCTTATTTTTAATAAAAAAATAATAATAATATTTCTTTTGAACCTAGAAGTTCGATTGTTATATCATTAGTCAAAAAGAAACTAAATTTAGATCTCTTAAACAAAGTCTCAAGTTATAGAATTAATAAATATTTTATTCTTATAACATGTAAATTTAAATGCAACATAATTTATTTTTACACTATTGTATGATTAAATAATATTATTTTTTAATTGATTAATGTTTAATATTCAAACAGGTGATTAACAAGACAAAGGATGTGGCTAATCAGATGTCAGCGGGTGCACAAAACCTTACTGAGAGAGCAAAGCAAACAATGAAAGGTGCATGGGATTCCACTAAGAGCACAGCCAATAATGCTTCAGACTGTGTGGTGGAAAAGAGTAAAGAATCAGCTGAATATGTCAAAGAAAATGCAGAGAAAGTGAAGAAGAACATGAACACAAAGAACTGATTAAAGCACCACTTAATCATTTTTGTCAATAGCATCATCTTTCTTGTTTATTTTCAGCCATTGTTTTTCCCCCATTTTTTTATTATTCTTTTTTATTTTCATTTTGGTATTCATGGCACCACATGTGGAGAAGATATGTCTCTTCCCATGTGCCATTCATCTGAAACAAAAATTTTGTTTCAACTATCAATAAATATTTAAGCCTTTCATTTTCTTCTATTTCAATGGGAAATTAATGACTATCCGTTAAAATATACTAGAGTAATGATATTTGTTGCAGTTTTTAACGTCTAGAAAATGGAAGTGGAATTTTAAAGGGTACAAATAACATGTATTTTTGTTATAAATTAAAATGTGAACTTCTTAAAGACAAGGAAAAATTGACAACTTTTTAATTTTAAAGAAGAAAATATAAGAATTCAACGACATTATTCTGATGAAATAACCAACGCAAAAGCATATCTGTTAATCAATTTAATATTTTTAAAACTATAATTTTTGTTTTGTTTATAACCTTTTAATGTTTTGTTTCAAACTCTCCAGGGAGGACTATGGCTTTAATCCTAATTTGTATAGATAGGAGAGTCATCGTGAGGGATGTTAGGGAGGGATCCCCTTTGTAAACTCAATTCCCAAACCATTCAACAGATATACACTGTAACTTCCTCGTACCTCAAAATAAGAAAAAATTTTCAAAAATTGTACGGTTGAGAATGATAATTGTAAGATAAAAAAATAAAATTTCACATCATTAGAATTACATTAGGAGTATGAGTTTATAAATATATATATTAGTAAGACGAATAAATCTATGGATTAATTAAATTTAAAATGAATAATGTTATATTAATATAAAGATAATTGTACTTCTCTATTAACCAAGATACAACATTTACTATCCTTCAATTGACATGTTCACCTTTAACATAGATCATTTATGGATAATAGTTTTGTAGTTTGGAATTTTTCTCCTCCCCAACTTAGTTTACAATTATTGCCAAATGTTTTATTACACGTGTTCTTTATTGCATTTGCAAAAAGTAATTTCTTTGTTTCTTTTTTTGTTTCTTTTAATTTTCTATTAATAAAAAAATATAGAGATATGTATGTGAATTTCTAGTGTTCAAAGACTACTTGTTGAAGGTTTTAACAAATAAAATATTTTGAAACTAATAATGAAAACTTGAATGAAATATCAGCGTGTGGAATGCAATGTCAAATTTGATGTGTTACATGGTTATTTTATTTTTTCTATTTTAAAATTGACAAAACTAGTTTTACCGTAACAACTTTATTCATATAGGGGACTATTCACTATACATGCTTAACTATTATATGAAATGGTTGTAAAATAAAAACTATTATATGAAATTAGAAAGTATTATAGTTCTAAGCATATTATATGATTGATGGTTGGTTCGAGTTGGTTGTTCATGTGAACATTACAAAACCAATGTGATTCAATGCAAACCAAATAATTTTTTTAGTGAAAGAGTGACATGGCTCATCGAACTGGTCTAGGTGAACTTGTAACGAGTTTTAGTATTAATTCTTATCTCGTGAATATTTTATTAACATATGTGGTATGTTATAAATATTGTAATACCTATAACTAAGAGTGTCTCTATATGTAGATAATAACTAGTTAACAATTAAAAAAATACCATTAAATATATATATATATATATATTAATGATATTGTGAAAAATATTTAACCTGTTTAAATATTATATAAAATTTAAAACAATCAAATAATTAAATTAAATTAAATTCATTAATAAACCCAAATTTAAATAAACATTACAAATAATTTAATTACCCATATGTGTGAAAAATAATATATTATCATCCATCTATAAAAAATAAAAATAAAAAATCCTTCCATCCTCATGATTGTTAATTTATACATCTCATGACAAAAAAAAAACTTGATTTATTTGTAGCCAAGTTAATTCGTTATACAAGAAAAAAAAAATGCTCTGTAGAAATTTAAAACTTAAAACTTTTTTTATGCAGAAAACTACCAAAATAATCGTTATCTTTCTTTTTGCTTTTATTTTTCCCCCCTTTTTTAAGAATGAGACAACTCGTGAAAGCATACACGTTGTCAAAATCCAGTAAACATCGCAACATCTATCTCCACATTATATGACGGTCGTGTTATTTAAAAATATGCAATTTTAATGTATTTCAAGTGAATGATATAGATTAAACGATAAGAAGTAGAAAAGGAATTTTTGTACTTATTTAATTATAATTTTTATGTATTATAAATTATTAATTTCAACAATAAATGTCTTGAAAATCAAATATCTATTATAACTTCTGACCCATTATCGGCATGAAATTTTAATACTAATAATACATAATAAAAAAACTCATAAAAATGAGATAAATGTTATGAATATAATCATTTATTAAAAAAAATTTACATTTAGTATGATTTTGTTTTTGAAAGTGTTTTTAGAAGATTAATTAAGAAATTATTTGGTTAGAGAAAACATTTGATTTTTGTTTTCATTTTTAATTGTAAGAAAATATGTTATTTTCAGAGGATTTTTTTTTTTTTTCCTTCTTTCTATTTTAATGACAAAAATGTTATTTTCGATTACCTTTAATGACAAAAATTAAATTTTCTTAAGCGTTTATTCTTTATCTTCTCTTTCCTTTTCTATCAGGTGGCTGGCTAAATTATCTTATTAGGGAACGAGAAAATCTTAAACTGAATTGTTTGTAATTATAGATTACTATTAATAATTCAAGATTATCTTAATTTTAGTAGGGTTTAAATTGAAAAACATGTCCATTGGCCTGTTTAGCATTAAATTGGGTTGTGTTATTAGGGAATGTAACGAATTGATTAATTGACCTAGAAAAATCAAAATAAGTTAAAATGTCGATCAATTACAAAGAAGTTAAACCATGTATTGATATTAAAATTATTGATTATAATATATTATAAAAATATTATGAATTTATACTTAATTTCAATAATTGGTTGTTAGTAATAAGTAAAGAAATTTTCTCTCAAAGGAGTTATAAGGTGGTATTGTAACTTTAAAGGAAAGATATAAAATTAGAGTAATAAAAAAGGAGGAGTGCGTTTGAAATCTCATTACTAATAATGATTATTTGTCAATAAAAAATAATTCTTTCAAAATTTTCAAAATGATTTAAGATTAAGTAAAGTAAGTCTTATAAAGCAGTTACTCTTTATGTTACTTACAACTGATTTTTTTTTTTTTTTAACATTGTTGACGATATAAAAACACCCAACATTTAAAGGATTAATAATTTCTTTTCAAAAGTTAATTCTTGCACCAAATACTTTATTAATTAAGTTAGAGTAAAGCACAAAATAAAGGGAGAAAATAAATACAAGTAATTGATACATTTATATAGTTCCGGAGACACATAATTCATGAGCATCAATCCTTTTATTTATTTATTTTTGTTTAGAACATGAGACATCATTCCTAGTCTCGTACTTAATTGATTTCTTTCTTTGGTGAACTACTTGATTGTTTAACACCTTCTACATTGGTGTAAAAAAAAACCTTCCACGTAAGTTAAAAACCTTTAATTTATTTGTTAATTAAGTTAAACTTAAGAATTAATTCGTGTTTGTTTAATGTAAGAATTCATTTATGGGTGGGAGCTATATATGTATTAAATATTTATGTATGTGTTAACTATTTTATTTACTTGATTTAGTGATCTAGAATCTAGATGATGGACATGTATTATCAGGAACTTCATGTAGAGGATTTTAATTGTCTATCAAACATGTCGAATTTTGTTTGACATACTACCCTAATTGGATAGATATAAGTTTGCATTAGATATGAACTCTTGTATATATAATCAATACTTCAATTTAAAATGGTGGTAGAATATGGATAAAGAAGAATAGTTAATTTAAGAAATGTTTGCTTATCTACACTAGGGGAGGGTTTCTATCAACTATGGAGTATGGATCATGCCCTTTGAATGATACCTTCAAAATTCTTAAGAGTGAAATGTGTGAATTGTTATAAATATATCAAATTTGATTTTGATGAATAAAAAAATAAAGTTAACAGTAAAAGAAGCATGATCTTAAGGACATTTGCAAAATAGATGTACAAGTAGTTGTTCTACTTTTATATATATATTATATATATATATATATATTTATTTATTATTAACAATATAGGTTGTATCTTAGTCCAATCTCCCATGTCTTTGCCTATAATTTTCTAATACACAACATCGTTGTGTACTATACTTATTTAGACAGTTTTCTTAATGTCACCAAGATTTGAGTGTTAACTTCAATGTTGCTAACTCTATTTTAGAGTTGAATAGCCAATTAAATGTTATTCCTTTAAATAATTTAACAAAAAAAGACAAATAGTTGATAAAGAATGAAGTTCTTTAAATATCTCAACGTTGTTTGATTTTTTGGACATTTGCTTGTAAAAAAGACTTTGTTAAAAGAAACAAAAGTTACTTTAGTAATTTTTAAAGGAGTTAGTTTTTAATGATGGATTAAGAATATCTTTGATGCATATAAAAAAAATTGTCATAGGCAACTAATGATTTGCAAGGGTGACAAAATGGCATGTTCATCTGTCAGATAGTTAGTTTAATTTTTAAATTTAAATTTATTTTTTAAACTTATTTCATTATATTTAATTTTGTTTATGTAGATTCTGTGTTGTTATATATTTTTATTATTAAAAAATTATTAGTATTTATGTTGCAATTTTTAAGGACTATAATAATTTTGTCTCATTGAAAGAATATTAATAATGACTTTGATTGGAAGAGAAAGTTTTTTTTTTAATAATTTGTAATTTAATATTTTATGTTGTAGTGTTAAAGTTGAAGGATAAATTTATGTTATGAACTTTAATTAAAATTGTCAATTGTTGTAAAAAAAAAAAATTGTCTATTCAAATTAATAATAAAATATTTTTATTTTCAATTTTGCACACTGCCCCACCAGCCCACTCTTAATGGTTGAATCAAGAATTTTGATCTACTTTTAACAGTTATTGTAACCTGTCTCTGTTTTTTAGGTTGATAGCAAAGTGATAAAAAAGAGTCAAAGTGACCTATTTTGCCACTCATAATGATATGTACCAATTCTAAGTTTGATTTGTACATCATTCACCATAGTCTTTATGTGCATCAACATTAACAAAAAGGTAAGGTAGGGTATTGCCCTTTATGTC